TCTAAAATAAGTAATCAGCATGATGAATCTGAAAATGAAGTTGAATTATCAGATAATACTCTTACTGATTACCAGTTAACTAGAGATAGGGAAAGAAGAACCATAATTCCCTCCAGCAGGTTTAATACTGAAGAATTTGTCACTCTATTTTTTGCTCTTGATTCTTTAAATTCAGAACCTACATCCTTTGATGAAGCCATTAAATGTCCTGATTCCAAGCTTTGGAAGGAAGCCATGAATGAGGAAATGGATTCACTTGTTAAAAATAATACTTGGATTTTAGTCAATAGACCTAAAAATCAAAAGGTTGTAGACTGTAAATGGATCTTTAAAATAAAAGAAGGAGACTCAAATACAGAAAATAAGAGGTATAAGACCAGACTTGTGGCCAAAGGTTTCACTCAAAAGGAAGGAGTGGATTACAATGAAATATTTTCCCCAGTTGCCAAATATACTACAATCAGAATCCTATTGGCTCTAACTACACACTTTAACTGGGAATTAGAACAACTTGATGTTAAAACAACATTCTTGAATGGTGACCTTGATGAGACTATATATATGTATCAACCTGAAGGATTTGAAATAAAATCTAAATTAGATAAAGTTTGCTTGTTAAAGAAATCACTTTATGGGCTTAAACAAGCCCCTAGGCAATGGTATTTGAAGTTTAATTCTTTTGTGCAAACTTTAGGCTTTGTGAAAAGCAACTATGATTCATGTTTGTTCTACAAAGGTTCAGGTGGAGCTGAATCTATATATCTCCTATTATATGTTGATGATATGTTACTTGCTTGTCATGATAAAACTGAGATTGAATTTGTTAAATCAAAGCTAAAATCTGAATTCGAAATAAAGATTTAGGACAAGCTAAAAGAATCCTTGGAATGGAGATAAATAGAGACAGGAACAACTACATACTAACACTAAAACAATGGTCCTATGTGGAGAAAATTCTTGAAAAATTTTCTACGTTAGAATGTAAACCTGTCACTCTTCCAATTGCTAATCATTTTAAATTGTCAAATGAACAATCACCTAAAACAGATGATGAACTAAGAAGAACGAAGAAAATACCTTATGCCAACACAATAGGTTCCATAATGTACCTCATGGTTTGCACCAGGCTTGACCTAGCATATGGAATTAGTGTATTAAGTAGGTTTATGGCTAATCCTGGTGAAACACATTGGCTTGCTATGAAATGGATGTTAAGGTACTTGAAAGGATCATCTGATTTAGGATTAATGTACAAAAAGAGCAATGAAGAGATAAAACTGAAAGTGTATACAGACTCAGATTTTGCTGGTGACTTAGATAAAAGAAGATATACTTCTTCTTACATTTTCACTTTGTGTGATGGGTGTATAAGTTGGAAGTCACAGTTGCAAAAATTAGTTGCCTTATCTTCTACAGAAGCTGAACATATTGCAGTATGTGATGCTATTAAAGAAAGCATTTGGCTGAGAGGCTTAATTAATGAAATTGGCTTTGCAAATGATTCTGTTAGTATATATACAGATAATCAAAGTGCCATACACCTTAGCAAAAACCTTGTATATCATGATCGAACTAAACATGTAGACATAAAATTTCATTTTATATGAAATATGGTAGAAAAATGTTTGATTAAGTTGGTTAAAATTCCCACAGAATTTAATCCTGCTGATTTGAGCACTAAGGTGGTGCCTTTAAACAAATTTAAGAATTGTTTGCAAACTTTGAATGTCACATGATATGATGAATTCAAAACTTGTAATAAGTTTATGTTCGATAAGGTTCAACTAATTTTTTTTTCTTTTCAGATACTTCGAGCAAATGAACTCAAGTTGATGTAGTATCTAGATCCATTAGTAAAGAATAAGAATCAGTTCAGCAAGGTGGAGATTGTTAATTATTTGTGGGCTGCCTCACATGATTCTTGGCTTTGTGGGCCTCTGTTATTGGACCAAATGCTCCACCGGGTTGCTGTGGTTATTTCAAGTTTAATGAAATCGTGTTTTGATTAAAAAAAAAAAAAAGGGCCTCTTCAAGAATTAATTTTAGCCGTACACGTGGCTAAATCTCTGCCCTCTGATTGTTGGATGGATACGGATACTTACACTAGGTATTGGCCTTTTCATTTGCCATTCTAGAGACTTCTTTTGTGCAGTCTCTTCGTCTTACTCTCTGTCGTTCTCTCTGTCCTTTGTTTTTTGAGTGAAAAATAGGGTTTGGCCATGTTAGATGAAATCAATCTTTGTGATTGATAATATTATGTTCTTTGTGTAGAGAAATGGTTGTTTTGTGCAATCTGTAAGAGTGATAGCAGTGTTGTATTGTTGTGTCAAGAGGCAAGATAAACTCGAAGAAATTTCCAATTTCTTCGTACATTTGTATGTTGTTCTTGTTCGTTATTAATGGATCTAGAGCTTAATCTCGTGAGAGATGCTCAACGGGTGATTAGGTTGCAAAACCGAACATCCGGGCCCTTTTAAAAGGGCAAAACATATCTTGTGTTGATTTTCTTTGATTTCTGCAGTTCGTTTAGTGTTTTTCTAAAGATCGATCCAAATGTTTTAAGTTTTAAAAGATAACACATGAGATAATTTGCTAAGAATTTGCAGAAGTTTTGGTTAAGCTTAAAATATCTGCTTAACCAACTAGGCATGAAATAATTTGCTAAGAATTTGCAGCAATTCTGGTTAAGCTGAAAAATTTGTTTCCAAATACGTTTACTCGTATGAACCATAACTTTTAAAATAAGTAATTATTTGGCATGCATTTCTGGATATTATCCATCTAGAGTATCCTTTCATCGGCTTCACCTAGATGTCAACTGCAAATGCAGCAGCTGTAGAGAGGAGGCGGAAACTAGCCTCCACCCTATCTAATGTCCAACTTCTCGAAAAATCTGGGTGCTTGCTCCCTCAGATTTATATGATCCGTTTAATAGAATGTATAGCATGGGGGAGAGAATTCTAGAAGCAAAGAAGCATCTATCATATGAGGATATGGATCTGTAGCTAGATCGCTTTGAACGTAGATGCAGATCTACAAGTAGCTAATGAGGGCTATGGTGTTGGTGGAGTGGTTCGTAACCATGAGGGTCTTGTAATGGCTAACTTATTTAACCACATTTGGTGGAGTGGTTCGTAACCACATTTCGCCTTATTTGGCTAAATGCTATGCAATCCTGGAAGGCCTTCGATTTGCTTATGAATCATTTTCTTGACGATTGCTAAGTGATCCTATAGAGTTCTAGAGCAACTTCTCTTTTCCCTTTGGATGTGCCAAAATATGAATTGTACGGTCTATCTCATTTCATAAGAAGGCTCAAAGTTTTTATCAATAATTTTGATTTCTACAGAATGGAAAAAAATGACAATAAAGAGAGAAAAAATTAGGTTACATTCATGAGGGTTCGGATTCAATTCGAACAGATTCTACAACGTTGTCCATTTTATATTGAGTGGTGAAAAACTAACCATGCAGTCCACGCAAGTTCACGAGAAGCATGGCTTACCTTTTTATTATTGTGTTGTAACAGAAACAAATAACCAAGGAGAAAAAAAGAAGCAATGTTGAAAAATAGAAAGTTAGAAACAAATTCTATCATTTGTAATATATGCCACAAGCAGAGTTCACGGAAAGAAAGGATAAGTTTAGAAAGAATGACTTGGATGGTTGGGAAATATTTTGCATAAACATAAATTGAGATCTTATAGTAGATATAAGAACGAACAAAACATAATCAAGTAGTCGATGTGACTAATTTAACTTTTACCTTGTTTTCACATAACATTTTGAGTAAGTTCCCAAAAGTGCAGAATAAGGCACGAATCCCCTTCATCATATCATCCTATGATATGTACTGTTGTTTTTGTACAATATCAGGATCTTTATTTTGAAGCAACTGGGATATATAAAAAAAATGATGAAACTTTGGAGAATTCACCAAACAAGTATTGGTGTGGTTACTGATTATTGCTTTTTTTCTTTTTTTTTTTCTTTTTTTTTTGTTTAGTAGTTAAGGTTAGATTTCAAATGTTGAAAGATAACATGAAACCAGATATTCTTATACTTCTAAGTTAAGGATCATTAAATTCACTCGGTACATTTTTTGGACTGGACATGATCACTCATAAATACTGTTTAATCTACTGTACCAAAAAGGCCTAACGTTTTGTCTTTCTAGAAAATATTTCACAGCTTTGTAAATACCAATGATAGATAGAAGGTTAATATTGTCATTTAGCTGGTGGATCTGGATCAGCCCTTTTCGGCAGACAAAGCAGTTTCTATTTAGATTCAGAACAAAAGTTTTCCCCTCGAGTCTCCTTCAGTAAGTTTGAAACGTCTTTCAAAATAATTTTGCAACTCGACTCTACTTTGATGCGTGCTAGACATGAAAAGGATTTAGCTCTGAAGCTTGGAGTTGTTACATTTTTGCTCTTCTAATACATATTAGGCGTTGACAAGATAGCGTAAAGGCATGATTTTTCTACTCGAGCATTAAAAATATGATAAATCAAGAACTTGACAAATCAACAGACTTTTCCAAGTTGTCTTATTGTTCAAATAGATGTGGAGCCAATTAGCTACAATATATACCTTCTCCCTTTGCAAGGGTCGTGTATTTTTGCTTGTGTTTGAGAAGAGAACAAAAATCGGTTGTCTCCTTTATGGTTTTCTTCAAGCCTTTGTTTTTCTTGTCTTCTCTTTACCTTTGTGGCTTGCAAACACCACCATATTATTGTCTCTTTGTGGGTGAGAAAAAGGGAAGGCAACCATAAGTGGATTGAAGTTGTGGGTTTGTAATTTGGTTGATTGGTAAGTTTGATTTGAGCCTAGAATTCCACTAATTGAAGGTCGATTGTTCAAACAGGATTTTGCTCTGAGCTTGAAGCTGTTGCATTTTTGCTCTTCGAATACAGATTAGGCGTTGACAAGATAGCAGAAAGGCTTGATTTTTCTATCATGCTTGAGCATTAAAAATATGATAAATCAAGAACTTGATAAATCAACGAACTTCTCCAAGGTGCCTTACTGTTCAAATAGATGTGGAGCCAATTAGCTACAATGCATTATTTCTATCATAAAATCAAATACATAACATAGACCTTTTACTTCTAATGAAAGTGTTTGACCGAATTTTACATGTACAGGTCGAATCTTACCAACCAAATAAAGCTCGAAGAATGCCAAGTAAAACTGCCATTTAGCAGTGCCCTCAGAAGTTGAAGCTTCCTAGTTGTGTATGGCAGGTACCTTGCACCTATATCACCAACAAAACTACGTCATAAAACTGCCTTCTTATGGCTGAAAGCATCAAAAGAGGATTTCCCGTGGTATGATCCCATTCCACTTAGCCCTATGCCTCTTAATGGTAAAGATGACTCTGCAAGCTGCACCAGCAAGTTAATTATTAAGATTTAGGTAATTCTCATCACTTTTTTTTTTTTTTGATAAACTCATCATTTTACATGATCATTGTAAGCGTGTGGTAAAAAAGTAAGGAAAACTGCATACACTACGACAGTAATACATCTCATGAAAATACCATTCATGAAAGCAAGGTAAAAAGAAGAAAACGTGCACACTCTTGTTGTTTAGCTTTTCATGACTTGATGAACTTAGAACTTAAGAACAAACACCTTGCTGAGAAGTGAAAGCCAAAGAATTTAACTTGCAGACAAGTTATCATGATATAATCACATCACCATTGTGAAACCAGTTAGAGCTAATGCAAATCGCAGTGCAAGTGTAAATGTAAAAACATACTGTGTAATATAATTGACTATTTGTTCAAGTCTATGAAAAGCTTTTTATGGATTGTAATATAGGTTGCAAAGTAGTGTCATCGATGCACAAACCACCTGCTGACACGCTTCCTACGTATTCCTCCATTAGCTCTTTGTCATTCATAAATAAATAAGCAGCGAGCGGCTTTTCCCTGGCATTGATCCATTGATACTGTCTTCAATTTTGTCGACCTTCTCAAAAGAAACGATAACATCACTTATATTTAAAATTTTCTGAGCTAAAATAAAAGCAAAGTACCATTCATGAAAGCAAGGTAAAAAGAAGAAAACGTGCACACTCTTGTTGTTTAGCTTTTCATGACTTGATGAACTTAGAACTTAAGAACAAACACCTTGCTGAGAAGTGAAAGCCAAAGAATTTAACTTGCAGACAAGTTATCATGATATAATCACATCACCATTGTGAAACCAGTTAGAGCTAATGCAAATCGCAGTGCAAGTGTAAATGTAAAAACATACTGTGTAATATAATTGACTATTTGTTCAAGTCTATGAAAAGCTTTTTATGGATTGTAATATAGGTTGCAAAGTAGTGTCATCGATGCACAAACCACCTGCTGACACGCTTCCTACGTATTCCTCCATTAGCTCTTTGTCATTCATAAATAAATAAGCAGCGAGCGGCTTTTCCCTGGCATTGATCCATTGATACTGTCTTCAATTTTGTCGACCTTCTCAAAAGAAACGATAACATCACTTATATTTAAAATTTTCTGAGCTAAAATAAAAGCAAAGACAGAAAGTAAAAAACAAGTGTATTTTAATGCCCTCTGTTTTCATGATAAAAGTAACAATTCATATCAAACTGTTAGCCTCTTAAAACGAATAATTACGAGGGGTTGGAAATTCATAAGTTTAGCTATTTATTTTCTTGTTGATACATATCTCGTTTATAATGGGACTTAAACAAAAATTCACCACATGGTCTGAAGTTTTATCATGATGATGGGAAGTAAAGGATCAAATATCTCCTCGTTCATGATCAGAGAATCTTCTGGGACATCCAACAAAATTGTTGGAGCAATTCTTCTACCAGGATAGACAGGAGAGTAATTGTTGACCCCAAAAAGTGTTGCCAACAGATGTCGGTCCCACCCGCGCACACATGGACGAATGTCCAACACGTTAAGACACATAGACGGTCTAAAATGAGCGGTTCAAAGGACGCGGGAGTAGCCCAAAAACGCGGGACAGTGACGTTCGGAATTCGGTGGGTTGTTCGTGATCTGATCGTACAATAATTACCAACCGGTGTTCGTTAATGTATATGTGAATATGTGTAAACTCGATTTGTATATTGCAAGTAAATGAGAGAGAGAGAGTTGAGTAAAGTGTGATTCTTTGTATTGATTCTTGCATTCGTCTCCTGATTTTACACAAGAGAAGTATTTATGGTGATACATACGAAATGGGAGCTCTTGGATGAGGTGGCACGTGACTTCATCTCTTTGATTCAAACATCTTTTCCTAGGCAAGGGGCTTGACTTGCTAGCTTGCTGCGCATTTATTGTTTGTGCAGAGCCTCCATGCTAGTGACAAGACTTGACCTTTATGCTTATGACAAACGTTCCATCAATCATTCTAACAAGATCTTTGTGTAGACGATCTCTTGGGAGAAGTGATTGTGGAGGATGCTCCCATGTAGTTCGGAGGCCCCTATATCAGCTTCGGGGCTTCGGCCATTTCATACAATACTTCCACTTGAGGGCCTCAGCTAACTTCAACCAGCTTCAGTATCATGGCTTCGGCTCATAGGCATCAACATGTGGACCTCGGTTACTCTCACAGGCCTCGGTAAAGTGGCATGCCTCGGCTAGTGGACTTCGGCGTGAAGGGCTTCGGCATAGCCCACCTCGGTTCGAGTGCCACGTGGTTCGGCCTGAGTGGGCCATTGGCCCAGATAGGTTAGCCAAGTATGACAACACGGAATAATAGTCCCCCAAGTCCAAGTATGGTCATTTATGTAATGCGTGAATTTTAATGAAGTAAAAATTGAAAGAATTGTAATGTGTGGACTTTATTGAAGTAAAAATTGAAAGAATTTTTTGAACCCCAAATAATAGTCTCCTAAGTCCAAGTATAGATATTTATATCATGGTTGGAGTTAGAGATGTGCTGCTGTAGGTGAATGATGAAGAGACCGAGACTGTGTTGAAGATGAGGAAGAGGTGGTTGGGAAACCGAACCTACGAGGCTCGTTGGCTGAATGTTGAAGAGGAAGCCGAGGTGATTGGGAACCGAACCTCCAAGGCTTGTTGGCTTCATCAGCCAAGGCTCAATGGTAATGATTGTGCGTCGATAGCTGTGCCAATGATTTGATGTTTTGTGCTTGTTTTTGAGGAAAAGTGGCTGGTCCGTACTACTTCCAAGGTGCCTGTTGCCATCGAATTAAAAACACAATTATGAGGATAGCTGGAGATTCTAGAAGCAGACGCATTGGATGGGGTGCGTGGGAGGCACGTTTGAATCAGAGGCGTAGGTTTGAAAAATCGTTGGAATTCAACGCCTCAGATTTGATTTGCAATGGAGGGTTCAGATTGACTGAGTTTCGATCTAACGGCTGGGGTTCGTCCTGGACCTCTATAAAGGGTAAGAAAATCCCATTTTTTAGGACTTTTGAAAATTTACAATTTGATTCTCTCTCAAATTCCTGAACTTTTCGGCATCAAGGCTGCCTGCTTTTTGATTTTCCGACCTATCTCCGGTCACGTAGTGTTCTTCCCTTAGGTATTATTCGTAGAAAAAACCTTTTTTGTTGTTGTGTTGATTCTGTGAGATGGAGTCCACCTCGAGTAGGGAGTTGGTGACGGTTGCGTCGTTAGATTATGAGGTCAATCAGAGGGGGGATGCCGAGGCTGATAGTTATGCCATGACCGAGGACCCAGTAGATTATACTGAAGAATGGGGGCGTCTAGGGTGCCCTCAAGTATGACGTGGAAGAGGTTAGGGGAGATCAGGGAGAGATACAGTGTCCCCCACACCATAGAGATGCTAGTTCCCGAGCCAAATGAGCGGGCCTGCTATTCGAGGTCCGGATGCGTGGCAGTCAGTGAATACCTGTTTAAGGCAGGTATGCGTCTTCCTCTGCACCCCTTCTTCAGGGCGGTGTTGAGGAATTTTATGTTGTCACCGACCTAGGTTCTGCCAAATGGGTAGAGCCAGTTGGTCGGCTCATACTTCTTGTGGAAGGAGGTGTCACTTGGGGAGAACATGCCTCTCCATGTATTCATGACTCTTTTTCAGCCCCGGATCATAGGGTAGGAGTCCAGGGAGTGGTATTATCTTACACCATGGGGGGCTCACGCACCCTTTGTGGTGGGACTGCCTTCCTCCATTAAGGGGTGGAAGGAGTCATGGATCTGGGTGCGGGAAAAATGGCAGGCAGTGGAGGGGGACAAGGCCCTTTCTTGCACAGTGTCGACCCAGTACTACGAAGCTCGTGAATCTCCCGGCCTCTGTTTGTACTTCTGAATTGAACACTTAGAAATTTTCTAACAGTTGGGGCTTCCATTGCAGATTGTAGTACGAGGTTCGAGCTCAGCAGGGAAGAGTTCGAGGTGATAGAGGACATCTACAAGAGGCCTCTGAAGCTCCGCCACTTTGACCATCTGATCGACAAGAGTCGCTACTTTCTGGATTTTGGACTAATGGTTTCCAGAGGTACGAGGCTCCCATAGTTGTAAATTTCCTTCTGTTTTTGATTGGATATTGGTGTGCTGACCTGACGCTCTTATGCAGATAAATTCAAGAGGGAGTACCCAACTCCAGACATGGCTACAATTTTGAAAGCCACTACCACTACCACCACCAAGGCTAGGGCCTTGAAGCCGGGGTCTAGTGGGGCTAAGGAGGTCCGAGGCAAGGTGGAACGTCTTTCCAAGGACAGTACCAAGGAGGAGGCAGCTAAACAAAAGCCTTGTTAGGGAAAAGGGGAAGTCTCCAAGCTTCCTAGCTGGAAGGGAGGAGACCTTGGCCCCAACCTTGGTGGAGGCTCTTCCCTAGGAGGTCCGAAGCGCCACGGAGAACTTTTATCGGTTCTGGACATACAGATGGCAATTGCATGTCTCCTCCTGCGATGCCTCCGACCTGACGAGGGCGCTGGTGAGCCAAAGCGTCAGAACTTTTAGCCTCACTCTTGAATGCAGGGAGGCCCAGAGTGATTTTCAGACAAGGACCAGGTCTTTGGAGGAGAAGACGGTCTCCCTTGCAGAGGAGTTGAAGGCGGCGAGGGCTGAGGTGGAAGAAGCCAGGGCCCAAAAACTCGAAGAAATGGCCAAGCTAGAGTCTGCCTTGGCCCAGATTGAGGCCTTGAAGAAGGAGGTCCACGAGTCACAGTGCGAGGTGGCCTCCCTTACAAAGAAGGTGGAGGTCTCCAATGAGCACCAGAAGGTGACCGTCGAGGCCCTGGAGAAGGCAAATCTCTCTTTGACAGGTGCCCAAGAAGCTTACCATTTCTTGGAAACCCAAATCAAGTGGTATGTGGATGATGCATCCCATGCCAGAGAGGAGGCCCAACAGGTGAGGGAAGAGGCGGTGCAGGAGTACGTTGCCAACTTCCACAACACAGACGAGTATAAGAGTTTCAGTGCATACTGGAGAAACTTTGCCTATGCTGAGGTGATGGAGCGGGCAGAGGAACTGTATCCCAATTTGGATCTGACTCAACTCAGGTCTGAATTCGTGGATGAGGTATCTCAGACCCTGCTGAGGACGTGTAGGGTAATGAAGCAGCTGAGGTAGGGGAGACAAATGCCAATGCTCAAGCTGCCGAAGCTCCAAGTACAAAAGCACCTCCCCCATCTACCCAAGCTTAGTTTACTTTTCTTTTCAATTTTTTTTTCCGAATGTAATGGCCTGAGGCCCACTTTTGTAATCCTTTTTGAAGATCAATATAATGCCTATTTCATTTATTGTTGTCTCTTTGTAATCCTTGTTGAAGTGTACACGCCTCGTTAAGCAAATGAACTTAAAAGTTGACAGAAGCAACAACTAAATAACTCTAACTTGGTACCTTAACTTCAATTTCTTTAAACAACTGGATTGAACGACTGTACGAATGTCGGACTTAAGCAAATGAACTTTACTTAAGCATAACAACTGTATGAGCCTCGAACTTAAGCGAATGAACAATTGAATGACCCCGGTCTTAAGCGAATGAAGACGAAGGAACATAATG